CACTGAACTTAAATCCGTTTCAGTGGAGTAAACTCCTGTAAGCAATGTAAACACAGCCAAGTACACATAACTAGAGAAGTCATAGATCCAAGAGAAACCCTTAACTCTGTCATATTTAAACAAAAGAAATTTCTTACTATATGCTAAATATGGATTCTTATATTTACAGGCAAAAATACCATACAGCACTCATCAAAGAAGCTTCTTTTTGGAACAGATGGAGTCTACTGTAGAGTTCCACAAATGGTTTCGCTCAGAGTCTATACACCTGAGAGATACCCAGTCCTAGATGAAATGTCTGCAGTCGAACCTCTACAATAAAGGCTCATGGAACACAGCAGAACATGGAGTAAAAAGAAAACCCATCCCTCAAGTCTCTCCGGTGAAGCTTCCTTATACAACAGTGTGGTATACACAAAGGCCAAAACTGGTGAAGATTTAGAGAACAAGGGACTGAAGAATGTGTGTCCCTGGACAGGACTCGTATATTAAACCTCACCCACCCATGGCTTAGGCACCATTGCTGAAGAGGGTCCAGAAAGATTGCAATATCCAGGGTTGGTCCATGAACATAGGGAAACAGAGGCTTTCAGGCCAGTGGAAGATTGCACATGTGAACCTGTGGCAACTGATCTCTGCAAAGTCAATCAGACAAGGGCCCAGAGTGGAGTGAGAAATGGCAGCCACAGTCCCAGTCTGGGGACTTTTGGAGATTGATTATTATTGGGTGAGGGAATTTAGCTACAATCTCTACATAAGCTGACTAGGCTCCTATTTATGAATTTGCACTGAAAAACACCTGAGTAGAAATGTTTGACCCGACACTACTTAACAAGTATGGTGGAGTGTACGAGGTTTGGGGGTGAGAGGTTTAGGGTGGTGCGCTGTGGGCATGAATTTGGGAGGGGAATCTAAATTAAGGACTGTGACATGAAAGGTATGAAAGCTCAATTTCAAAAACAAACTTTATTCTCAAAGTTGTTCTGGTTTTTTTCCAGTTATTTATTTAATAACCACATAGTTAGAAGAAGCATTTCATTATGACAGCATTGACATATTCAGTAACAATTTTCTGAGCTAAAATGCATGGGGAAAGGACTAAGGTTGTAGCTCAGTGGTAGAATGCTTGCCTAGCACAAATGAAGCCAGCCTTATCTTAGCTACTTTCTTGTTGGTATGCTACAGTATCACAAAATACAAAGCAACTTAAGAGAGAAAGGGCTTATTTTTGCTTCAGTTCCAGAGGGATACAATCAATCCATCATGGTGGGGAAGTTGGCAGCAGACAGGGAAGGCAAGGTGGCAGGAACAGGAGGCTGGTTGGTCCCATGGCATCTGCACAGGAAGCAGAGAGTAATAAATGTGTGCTGCTACTCAGCTCCCTTCTGTATTTATACAGTCCAGCATCCCAACCAGGAAATGGAGCCACCTGCTGTGGGTGGGTCTTCCCACTCTATTATCACAATCAAGATAATCCCCAACAAGCATGCCCAGAGGCCCATCTCCTGGGTAATTCTGGAACCTGCCAAATTGATATCACAAAGCCCTAGATTCAATCTCCAGTTCAAAAAAATTAAAAAATAAAAGATAAAAAACTTCCACTTCTAAACACTGAAATATAATGAATGAGTCAGATTATACACCACTCCCCTTTTTTTTTTTTTTTTTTTTTTTTTTTTTTTTAAGTAAGAAATGTAAATGAAATCACACAGTGTAAAATAAGTGATGCTTTTGCCATTAGATGAATTCATTTTTGTTACTGGACAACTTATACCTAAGTAACTAAAATTGTGTGTTGAAAATGTGTATTCTATGTAAGGGCACTGAATGACTAAATGACTTGTTTTTAAGTGAATTATTTTGTAAATAAAGCTCACATCACTTCCAATATTTGCATATTCAAAATAACAAGTCATTTATAAATATAAACATCCTGCTTTTTCTAAAGATTATTTTTCTTTTTTCTTTTCTTTTCTAGAGTGTATGAGTGCATTGCCTGTGTGTATATAAGTGTACGAGGATACAGAAACATACCACATGTATCTGTTTTTTATATAGGTTCTAGGCATGTGAACTCATATCTTCGTCTTGGTGCAGCAAGTGGTCTCATCTGACTCATCTTTCAGCCTCACAATTCAGTCCTTTTATGGGTGCTGGGAAATGCTGTCCTTAGTGATAATCACCCTGTAGAATTCAGCTCCTATGACCAAGTGCCTCCACACCTGCCATGTCTTGATAGGAGAACCATACACTTCAGAAAGCAGAACATTCTGTGCAGCAATATTTTCTTAAAATTTAAACTAAAAAATGCATTAATTTTCCTTTCCGACCTCTGACTTCATTTTTCTTCTTGCTTCTCCTACTTTGGTCCTAGACTCTCGGAATCCTAGGATTTCTCATCAGAATATGTGTATAATGTATTTATAATGTACAATATTTCCTTTTATAAATAACAAGAAAGCAGAACATTCTGTGCAGCAATATTTTCTTAAAATTTAAACTAAAAAATGCATTAATTTTCCTTTCCGACCTCTGACTTCATTTTTCTTCTTGCTTCTCCTACTTTGGTCCTAGACTCTCGGAATCCTAGGATTTCTCATCAGAATATGTGTATAATGTATTTATAATGTACAATATTTCCTTTTATAAATAACAATCACTTGGATAGAAATTGGTTAGTGTTTCTACAGGAGGTCTGTTGTATATACATCCTATAAATTTACAATGTATTTTTGAAGTTTGCAGTACACTAAATGAACATGTATAGACTTTTTTCTACGTTTGACTGCATAGAAATACTTTAGAGTTGAATTACATGAGGGGAGGAAATATTTTAAAACATGTTTTTTCCCAATGATTCCGTGTTCTTATTTATTTTATTTTATTATTTTATTTTATTTTATTTTATTTTAATTTTTTGTAGCCCCAGCTCACTATGTAGACAAGGCTGGCCTTGAACTCACAGAGATCTGCCTGCCTCTTCCTCCCTAGTGCTGAGTGCTGGTATTAAAGGTGTGCGCCACCATGCCCAGTGCTTCCGTATATTTTCTGAAAACTGTGAGATATAGCAAAAATGTTAGTATCAATTAATATATAATTCTACTTAAAATAAATATTCCTTGCTGTTAATTCATTTTCTCTCTGTTTGGTCCTAAGTGCAGGTTGTCACACATGCTTCCATTTAAATTCTTTAAATAAATAAAGATTAATTTTTATCCTTTACCTAGATGTTTTTGGATAATACATATTAAGTCTACAAAACAAGATATTTATTAGTGACTATTGAGCAATGTGTATTTTAATTCAAATTGATCAACAGTGTTATCAGAAAATAATAACCTGAACAATAAAATAATGTCATAGGAATGTTTTTGCAAAATATTTTTCTACTGGGTATGCAAATGCACTTGCTTGTTTATGTATGGTAGAATTTATTGATGTGTTGTTTCTATTTTTATATTTTCAGCAATAGATTTTTAATCTCTATATTCATCAATTTAAATAGTATAGATAATGTATTTTAATATATTTATGTAGT